AAACTTAACACATGGTAAGCCTCCAATAATTGATAGTATTCAACTAACTAAAAGCATTCTCACCAGAGTAAAGGACAAAGCTAGGTTGGTGGCATTTACAAGTACTTCATAGTGTTCTGAATAACCAGTATTATCTTTAGATCTGAGCAAGAGAGGCTACTGCCCTGGGGTTCACGCTTTACAGGATACCTCATATTACAAATACTCAAATTGATTAAAGAAGACATGGGTACTTGTGTCACTCGGTATCCAGTGCTCACTGTTGACACAGCACAAAACATAACCCTAAATTTCTGCTCTCATGATTAACATCATTCAAACTTAAGGGGAATACTTCTTATCTCTTGCTCTATGTACTTGAAACAAAAGGCAAATGTATCCATATGCCATGAAGGTTTGTGAGTTATGTTGTTGCTAATGTCAGACACTGCTTGAGAGTACAGAGGGAATCTGAGTAGCAGAAGTGTTTAGTAAGAGAAAAGACAAATTAACTTGTCAAATCCTTTCTCTCTCAATAGTAATAGATTCTTCCATAACAATGATTGTTTCCCAATGGTAACAAGCATGGGCTTTCTTGCTTCTCTTTGTGTTCCAATTCATGATTCCCTGACTTGTGCTAAGTAGGCCTCCATTTTATACTCTTGCCCCAGGACAGGCAAATATTAAAAGCTGGCCTGTAGCTGATACAGTATGATGTGAAAAAGAAATGAAGTATAACTATTGGAAGGGAGACAGAAATTGCCATTATTTGCAGTTGATTTGTTTGTCTATCCAGAAAACACCCAAGGGAATCAATTGAAACACTCATAAATTTAACAAGAGAGTTCAAAAAAGAGTTCAGCAAAGTGGCTGAAGAACAATCAATAGCTTTCCTGTGCGCCAGCAACAACCAGTTAGAAGATATAATGGGGGGAAAATGATTCATGATGACCAAAAAATAGCATAAAATCCCTAGGAATAACTCTTCAAAAATACATAGGCTCTACACAAAGAAAACAGGGATATTTGTATATCTCTCAGCAACTAGGATTTGAATAAATGGAAATGCATACTCTATTCCTGGATGAGAAGGCTAAATTTTGTAAGACATCAATTTTTAAAAATTCATTACATGTTTAATTCAATCTAGTCAAAATTCAAAGTTATTTCACCTTGATAAAGTGTTTCTAAAGTTTACATAAAAGAATAAATAAGGGGGAATGACAAAGAAATTTTTGAAAAAGAATAATGTTGGGAGAGTTGGCTTATAAGATATTAAAATATATACATAAGTTATAATGCATAAAATGTATATCTTCTGATGCTGGGTACTAAAAAATGAAAAAAATTAAAATAAAAAATATTTTTAAAAACCTAAAGAACATTGTAGTGCTGTCACAAGAATCAACAAACAAATCAGTGGAGCAGAACACAAAGTCTTGAAACTGACCTAGTAAAAAGACAAGAACCTGATATACAATAAAGGAAGCATCACAAACTAATGAGGACAGAATTACTCAATAGTGTTAAATGTAAAAAAAAAAAAGGCATAAAACAGATTTAAGAAAATATAGGCAAATGTTTAATCTTGAGATTGGGAAGGATTCTCTAAACATAAAAGCAATGGGAAAAGATCATAAGAGTCTTGCTTGGTTTAACTCCATCAAATTTATTGGCAAACTGGTAAAATAGTTAAAACAAATGATTGATGTCACTATGCTCTAAAGAGCTCTTATGAATCAATCCAAGAACACCAAATACTCAAAATAAAATTGAAAAAAGGACATAAACAGAAGATAACCAATAAATATATGAAAAAAGTTCTAAGATGCTAATAATGAGATACAAATTTTAAATGAATGAAATTGGTGAAGATGAAAAACACAATGAAATTCTCAATGCAGATGTGATGTGGTGATGCCCATACGCTCTCCTATACTGCTGATAGGAGGGTAAATTTCTTTTCTGAAAAGCCCTTTGATAATGTGTAGCAAGAATCTTTTAAATATTCATATCTTTCAAATGAATTAAAGAAGCAGCAGCAACAAACTGAGAAACAACACAGGTTTAAGTTGAACACCACAAGTGTCAGCCCTGTTCTGGATTCAGGGAGCTACTCTACTCCTTGCTCAGTTTCCTCATTCATAAAAACAAAAAGAGAATTCATACTACTAATCTCACAATATATGTAAGTCACTTAGCACAGTATCTGGCATCCTCTAAGTGATAACTAAATGTTAGCTATTATTAAAATGGATATATATGGATATATATGTGTATATGTATATGTATGAAAAGTTTATAATTTTGACCCATTCAACTTCTAGGAACTTATCGTAAAGAAAAAATCAGGTATTCAGAGAAAGATTGGTATATAAGGATGTATATTACATTTTTATTGGTAGAAGTAAAATTCATGGTAACAACATCATTATCTAGCAATAGGAAAATGAATGAGAATTATAGCATATTCAAATGATGCTAAAGTATTATATAATCATTAAAAATGATTTTTGAAGACACTGTAATAATGAGGGAAAACAGTAACAATAAAAAAGGTATAAAACTGACTAGTAGGATCAAATTCTGAAAACCTAATTTATTAATTTATATATGTTTTATTTAGGCTGGGCATGATGACTCATGCCTGTAATCCCAGCACTTTGGAAGGCCAAGGCAAGAGGATGGCTTGAGGCCAGGAGCTTGAGACCATCCTGGGTAACATAGTGCGACCCTGTCTCTACAAAAAAATTTTTTAAATTAGCTGGGCCTGGTGGTATGCACCTGTAGTCCCAGCTACTCCCAAGGCTGAGGAAGAAGTATTTCTTGAGCCTGGGAGTTTGAAGTTGCAGTGAGCTATGATCGTTTTTTGCCACTGCACACCAGCCTGGACAACAGAGTGAGACCTTGTCTCGTTAAAAAAAAAAAAAAGAAGAAGAAAAAAAAAAGAAAAAAAGAAACAACCCCCCCAAAAAACACATTTTGTTCATAGACAAGCATTTAAGAAAAAGATCAATTGAAATATTGATCATTAAAAATGTTAACAATGTTTATCTCTTCATGGTGGGATCATGAGTTATTTTTCCCTCATATTATTCAGTATTTTACACATTTTTAAAATGAATATGCAGGGGGGAGGGGAGAAAAAAATGAATATGCATTATTCCCATTATTGTGTAATTTAAAAGGAAAAATGTCTTATATATATCTTTAATGATCAGTTGCTTAACTGTATGAATAGGCTTCTCTAAGTGCTCATTTTACTGCCATATTCAAAGTAGAACATTTGGAAAACAAATTATAAAGATAAACATTTCATTTCATATATTCTTTCTAGTCTTTGTTTCTATGTATATAAGAAAAAGTTCTAATAAATCCTACTGTTTACTATACAACAAGCCCATTGGGAGCAGGGCCTATGCTTCATTTGTCTGTGTGTTCCTACAGTGTCAAAATTCACTTGTACGCACATTATAGGTGCTCAGTAATTTATCAGTTGTATCATAATCCAAAGTCTAAAAATGTTTTATCATGATGTAAATGATTGCTAAATCTTAGTGTTACCACTCCCATAAGTATTTGCATTTAAATTCATCGATTTTCCCCCCAACAAAGATTTATTAGGATCTGGTGCACAAAAGCCATTGTTCTAGGTGCTCTAGGGGATATATAGAAGTGGTTCCTGCCTTTTAAATGCTTATAATCTAATTGTACAGTGGATGTTATGCTAGACACTGTGTTCGGCAACTTACATGGAATTCTTACCACAAACCTTTGAGGCAGAATTTTCATGCACATTTTATAAAAGTGGAAATGGAGGCACAGCTAAGTTAAGTGACTTATCCAAGTTCATATAGCTAGCGGCAGATCTGGAATTCAAAGCCTGGACCTTCTGGGTCTGGCAGTGTGTGCGCGCACAAGTGCAAATTTACAGTGCTAAGCAATTTTAGGTAACTGCCATACTAATTGTACAAAATATTATAGGAGAGGCAGCAGAGCAATGGTTAAGAGCCTGGACTCTAGAAATGACTGTCTAGGTTTGAATCCTGGCTCTCCACTTACTAGCTGTATACTCTTTGGCAAGTTACTTAACTTCCCTGGGCCTCAATGTTTCCATCCATAACATGGATCCATAACTAGGATCCATACCTAGTCCAGAGTGTTTCTTTAATGATTAAGTGACACATTCAATAAAACATAACTACTGCTGGAAAAAAAGATTGAATAAGTTAATGCAAATGTCTAGCACCAAGTAAACAGTCAACAAAAATATTGATTATTGCTCTAGAAAATTGTAGGAGGGAGAAATCATATCCAGCTGAGAATGGACCAGAAAAGGCTTTATGGAGGAGATAACATTGAAGAAAAGGTTGAATTCTAACAAAGAGCGATGGGGGGGATCAAAGGTAGGAGAGGTGGAAAGGCTCAGGTTGTATGGGACCATGAGTAGATAGATAGGGGTGGCACCTGGCAGTGGGAGCTATTGAAAGTTAAATCTCCAAAGAGAGATAGGGGTCAACATTTGAAGTGCCTTGAATGCCAAATTTAAAACTCTAGAGTTAACCATTGGGTATGGGAGCTGTTAAAATTTTTGAAGAAGAGGAAAATAAACCCTTCTTGAGCAGCAATCAAGCCTGACAGCTTTGCAATTTTGTCCTTGAGCCGCTGTCAACTTCAGAAACTAACAACTGTCTGAGAAGTAACGTTTTGATTGAAGGAAAGGGAGGAGAGGTGAGAAAAAGTGAGTGAATAACTGAACAACGACAGGTGGGATGGGGAGATGAAAAGTGCACCTGGTGGGAAGTGATAGAAAGGCGGTCCTAACAATTCCTCATTCCAGGGGCCGCTCAATGACTGAACTGAAAGCACAACCTACCTTCTCCCCGTTTAAGATTTGAAGTTTCCGCCTCAGTTGAGGACTTCCTTTAACTTCGAGACTGTCTTTTTGGCCTGTGAGGAGCAAGCGTAGGGCATTAGGACCCAGCGATTGTTGTAGTGAGAGTGGTTGAATCTCAATCTCTCAATTTTTCTCTCGAGCTCCCTCCTCTCCCTTTGTCATTCTAGCTGGCTGCAGCCTCCGCAGCGTCCCTCCAGCTCTCCCTGTGCTAATTGCTTGCGCCTTAGACAGATCGGGTGCGCAAAGCAGAAGGATTAGTTGGGACCTGCCTTGGTGACTCCATGGCATCCCCCAGAACCGTAACTATCGTGGCCCTTTCAGTGGCCCTGGGACTCTTCTTTGTTTTCATGGGGACCATCAAGTTGACCCCCAGGCTCAGCAAGGATGCCTACAGTGAGATGGTAAGTGAAACAAACGGGTGATGAGGAGCGCACCCCCATGGGACTGCGTGCACCTCTCCCCTTCTTTCCTTCTCCATCTCCGGTCCCATTCCCTTAACCCCTAACCCCACCCCGGACCTTCTCCCCAACAACTTTGCAGCTCCGAAAGAGCAGCTGGGCAAGAGCGCTTTTATTTGTGGGCTATGCTGTTCTGGAGCTACGGAATGCCAGTTGGGGGAGGGGTTGCCCAGCGAGTACCCCTCACCCCAGGTAAACCAGAAGGCTGAGACCCGGGTAGCACCTGTCTTTGGCAGGAGCCCTTCCTTCCCTCCTTCTCCAGCACACGCCCAAAGTCTGGGCAACCAGTCTGTAAGTCTGATTCTTTCCCTCGGAGCTAAGAGTTTAGCAAGCTGGAGAGTTTATTTATTTTAGGGCAGAACAAAGGGTTTGAAAGAGGGAAAGAGCTGGGGAGAATGGGCTACTAAAACAAGCAATTTGTACGGGCTGGCTAGGTATTCCTCATCCCAGGCAGAGAGCTGATAGTATTCCTCTAGCTGCCTGGATGTGTATCTGGATTCTTGAGACAAAGCAGTCTTGGCTCAAATAAAGGTCACTGAGCTTCTGCTTCTTCCTCTTCTTTCACGGGAGAACTGGATGTTTTGTTTTATTTTGTTTTGTGTGTAGGCTAATCTACAAAATCTTCAAAGTCTGCCTTTTCTCTCATGCAAAACAGTCCATAATCCTCAGATTGCCTCCTGTGGATGCTGAGGGCCAGGCCCTCTGCAGGTTTTCCCCTCTGCAGAGTTGGAATCACCAAAGGTGACTGGCCAAAACATCTCTGCAACCTGGGGGCTGGGCTGCTTTCCCCTGTTGGGCGTGATGAGGACTTGCTCTTATGCTGTGGAATACTAGAAGATGGCAAGGGATGTTTCCAGCACTTTCGGTCTCTGGCCTCTCCCCCTGTCACTTGTCTCTTCCTTTCCCCGCCCCAGCTGAAGAGACGGTGCTTCTCGAAGCCTTTGCCAGACTGCCAGTAATGGGAGGGAGCACATTACTGGTCCCTCAAGGTCAAGAAGGAAAGGAGCTTAGGGGAGGAACAGAAGGGGAGAAAGTAAAGAGGCAAAGGGGACTGACTCCCTGTGAGGGCTGAGGCAGAGAGGAATAGCTTCACACGTTGAAAGGAATTACTAGCTCTCCTGAAGCCACTGCAGAGCTTTCCAGGGCCCCTCAACATGAGCTGCAAATGGATGGAGACTGGCAAATTGTAGATGCTCAGAAAATGTTTGCAGGCAGCTCTGGCTTCTGTCTTGGGGTTTGAGCTGGAGCTTTCCGTTTCTTCCTTACCACAGGATCACCCTGCGATGGGGGAGGGTGGCTGGGACTCAAGGGCTTAGGTCTGGCCCCACTGGCAAATCGTAATATGCTTCTCCTTCTCCCCACCCCTCCTCCCAGCACGTTGACCAGATGGAATTGAAATCAGGTCAAAATGAGTATCCAAGGCAGCCTGCATTGGGGAGGGAAGGGGCGGGGTGGGGTAGCAGAAGCATATCAAAGGGTTTAAAGAGGTTGGGGCAGAAAGACAGGGTGGAGGGGAAATGCCACTATATTTTTGCCTTGGCAGTAGTAGTTTGGTGTTAGAATATAAATAAATAAATATGTTCTTGCTTTACTTTTTATATGTACATGTATTTAAATATGTGTGTGTGTGCGCACTGTAGGCATTTGTAAGCTTCCCCTTGCCTTAGGCACATAGTACCCATCTTTAGTATGTCTCCTGCCCTCCAGACCTTGGTCAGCTGCTTTAGAGGACCCCTAGGCTGCACCCTACAGTGTTAGGCTCTGCAACTAAGATGGAGTCACCGGGAAGCTTCCCACCAGCTTAGCAGGAGCTCACAAGGAAGACCAGCCACAAATGGGTTTACAGTAGGTTTCTTCCTAGGGAATGGAGCTGTCTATTGCAGCCTAATGAAAGGCAGAAGAAACAAATATGAAGATTTCATATCATACATAGGAACATATTTAAATAGGTATAATCTAATACAGCAGTATAGAACCATTGTGTGTGTATGTATGTGTACACTTCTGTGCTTCTGTGCTCAGGGGCATCTGGAAGGAATGGAAAGACTATAACTAGGAAGTAGACATCACAGTCACTTGAAGCTTGAAGAAGATTTCAGACTGCCCTTTTCCAGGGTCCCCTCCTGCATTGAGCATCAGGCCATAGACTAGAGATGGCTCTCTAGCATAGAGCCTACTGCATAATGCCTAGTCTTGGCCCAACTTTATTCTCAAACCCATAGGAAAGGGGAGGAAATTCAGTTCTAGCACAAAGAAGGTGCTCAATATATATTTGTGGAATGGATGGGTGAATGAATGAGTCATTGTAGTATTGCCTTGGCCAGTCACCACCCTTCAGATTTCTCTGGTTGGCTCTTGATTATGTAGTTCAGGAGCCATTTCTTGCTTCTTAGAAGGGGACCACAGTCCCTCAGAACCCCAACTCTACATAAGCTAGGATGATTATCTAGGATTTTCTGTTTTCCATTTAGGAGTGATTCCTCTGCATTGATGGGTTAGTCATGTATTGACTACAGTGGCATTTTTTATAGGATCTCAAAGTGTTGTTGTTGTTATCGTTTTAAGATTATTTGTTCTTTAAAGCATCTCTGTGAGGTAGATTTATCTTATTAGTTATTCTTATTTTACTGAAGTAGAGTAACTTTAATGATGTATCCAAGGCTGGTAGGGTAAACTGTTGTCAGAGCAGAGATTAGAAACCAAGCCCATGACTCAATAATCCCAGTAGAGGGGTCATTAATAGTTAAAACTGTTGGGTCTTTATGGATGCCAGAGCCTATAACTGATTCTTGAAAATATCTGACACATTCTTCACTCTGTTTTGTACCAGTTTAACTGCCCAATCCATGTTTAGGGTTTTGCTTTACTTCAAAACCAATTTTTCAAATTTAGATGTTTAAAAAATTTACCCTTTTATTGCTTTTCTGCTAACTATATTTTTTCTTGTCTAAAACCATTGGTATTATGCTTAGGTGTTACCCCTTCCATGGAGAATCACTGCTAAAAACCAGACAAATAACTATGAGCTTTTCTCCTGTCTCTACTGGAGAAGCCAGGAAAGGTTAGTGGAAAGAGTGCAGGCTTTGGAGTTATAAAGGCTGGGATTTAGGTCCTGGTACTCTTGGTGTTTCTTTATTCATAAAATGAGGATCAGAAACCTAAGAAGGTTGTAAATATTGACTGAAATTACATGTAAAAGTATCTGGTACAGTGTTTGCTATAGTAGGTGTTCAAGAAATGCTCTGGGTGATTATGGTAAGTAATTATATTTTACGCAGTGGTTTCCTAACTAATTTGAATGGCCAGCTTAAGGGATTGAAATCAAGCATTTAAAAGAACAAAGATGCTATTTTCATGCACACTGGTGAACAGATCTTTTTGCAATCAGCTAATATTGAAAAATCCACACTTGCTGCTTTGTAATGCACAGTGGATCCCATGCAGAACTTCCAGATGCATTTCTGAATAGCCCATTTGGCGTGTGTTGTCCCATACTCCTCCAGATTTAGCAAGTATCATTATAGAGTACTCTAAATCCCACGTGAATTCAACATGACTGGCCACTCCTTTGACTAAATGCCTTCATCAGTTCACTTGAAATTGGGAGACAGCACTTACAAGTGCTGGTAAGCAGTTTCCTGGTAAGCATATGTCCTAGGAACATAAGAATGTTGACTTGCTTGAAATGTGGTATTTAGCTTTTTGTAGTAGTAGTTTCATCCTGTAAACACAGGAGGCCACATAAAGAAAGGTAAGAAAACATCAAAATCCTGTCACAATAAATATAAGTGATTTGGGCCCTGAGGAAGATGGGCAAGCCACTGATTCCTTGCATCCCCCTATAGTGAAGGTTTGTTAATTTGATTGATTTGCTTATATGTAGTTAAATGCTCTCTTGTTTGTATAAACCTGAGAAAACAGTCCCAACATGTTTGGGCAGTTTGTTTAATGTTAGTAGGTAATCTTTTAAGCTTCCAATCACTGCCATTAATTGCTTTCCAATCAGATTTTAAGATATTAATAATAATTCGCTGATGCTTAAACTGCTCTTTGAAGACCAGGGGGTGGCTTGTGCCTGTAATCCCAACACTTTGCGAGGCTGAGATGGGAGGATAGCCTGAGGCCAGGAATTGGAGACCATAGTAGACTGCTCTTTGAAGTGGTACAGTATGTTTGTTCTCTTAGAGAGGAAACTGAGACCCTGAGATGTGAAGTGACTGCTTTGTTCACACAGCCTGTCATGACAAGCTAAGCTACTACTTCAGGTTTGGAGCTTAAGTTGGGGAGCTTGTAGTTTTCCAGTATGGCTAACAGCTGAGTTTCAGAGTGATTTCTGACTGACAGTAGGAGTCAGACTTTTTTGCCCTAAGATGCAGTCCTGAATAGTGGGACCAGGCTTGCCAGCTTCCTCTTTTGATGGACATTATATGAAAGTGGGAAGTAGAATTACTTAAAAGGTATTTACCATTCATATGGATATTTGGCAATCAAACATTATGGCTTTTTATTGCAGTTAAACAATGATGTATAATTCACATGTGGCTTTATTTCCTACAGAGATTCAGAGAAATCATACATGAGTCAGTAAATTTTGCAGCACTTATGTAGGCTTTATGGTTTAAGATAGCAACCAGGCTGAGATTTTTAGCCAAAATATATTTTTGTCAGTTCTTTCTTCTGCTTTCATATAGTTTTTTCCCTATACATTTGATTGAAGTTTAACATATATACTGAAACATGCACTATGTGTACAGCTCAAGGAATTTTTAATACTCTCATGTAATTTTTAATACTCTAGCACCCCTATCAAGAAACAGCACATGACCAGCACCCCAGAAACCTTCCTCATGGCCCCTTCCAGTTACTACTCTCTCCAAGGGTAATTACTATCCTGACTTCTAACAATATAAATTAGTTTTACCTGATTTTGAACTTTATGTAAA